AACGCAAGTCTCGCGAATGCGTCAGCCGTCAGCACTTTAAATTCGCGCGTCCAATTTATCACGACGCTAATCACGAAGACACACAAGCGCGGCAATAAAATTCTCATTGGCCTGGATTGGATTTTGATGGCGCGTCGTCTAAGAACGCAACTCGGCGACAAGCTCGTTCGGGAGAGAGAGAGAGAGAGAGAGAGAGAGAGAGTGCGATCGCAAAACGATCGAGTGGTTCGCGCGCGTCGGTGTCCGCAAGCCGACGGCAGCAGCGTCGACGATTAAGAATTATGTGAATCGTGTGCCCCGTTAATTTTCGGGGTCCGCCCTCGTCCCGAAGCAGATGGTAATTTATGCCGGGAACGGAAATTTAAGCGAGACGTCGCCTCGCGCGCGCGATACAATTAGCTCTCGGCGGGAGGGAGGGTCGTGTGTAGGGGGATAAAATAACGAACGGAGGACTTTGTGTCCCACGGCTACTCTCATCAACCCCGAGCAGCGGGAACGGCCGTCCCGTTTAATTGATACGCGTCCGGCTCTAATCGCCGGCGAATCTCGGCATGAGGTACCTAGAATTCGTTAACCGCGCCGAGAATCGCGCGGCCCTCTAACAAAACGGTGAGGTCTCCCAAAAAGGTACGCGTTCCGGCTGCCTCTGCGGAAGAAGAGAGATAACGTCGCAAAAATCGTGAATTTAATTAATCTCGTTATCTCAGAGCGGGGGATCTACAAATCTGGGAGGTGTTGCTCGGAAGGCGATTCGCTAGCGGCAAAAGTCGAGTATTTATTAGGACTAGACATTACATTCGAAGCTTCGGCTCTGTTCGAGGTTTCGACGCTTCGAATTTTCGATTCTTCGACGCATTATACTGGAATAATGAAATTTTGAAGCGTGAAAATTCAAACATTCGGATATTCGAATGTTTGAATATTCAAAACTTAAAGAATCTTAAAACTGAAGGAAAACTAAGGAAAGAAACTTAAACTGGAAAGTATGTTTGTTCGTTTTGTACGCATAGTAAATAGTATTTACTATTCTAAAGAATGTAATTTTTCCATGCATTGTGTTATACTATTATATATGACGGCAAAACGTGTACTTTTTAAAATACAGTCAATGAAACTTGTTTATTATTTATGCTTTCTTTATTCGCTTTGTTCTTCGAATAGAGTTCTTCGAAGCTTCGAGTAATTCAACTTCGAATCTTCGAACTTTGTTGTCAAATGTCGAACCGATATCGAAGTCTCGAAGATTCGAATATGCCGAACAATATTATCCCTAGTATTTACTCGTGATTGAGTTGATTAAAGGAAATGTCTCGGTTAATTTCATCGATGCACGATTTTAAATATAAACAACGCAAACGTCACGATAGCGCACTAACTAAATCTGTACTTCTCTTTTCCGCGATTTTCCGCGTTTGTAATCGGCGGAGAAACCGGTCCCGACTGGTTCCCTCTCTCGTCGATGTTCTGAAATATTCAAAATTCGCTCGAATATTTAACACTCGAATCGTCGTTCGTCGCACGTTGAACGACGAGGTCGATTTCGCGCGCGTCGCTGTTAATTTCGACCCTTGTGCGGCGTAAGTTTTTCATCGCCCCGTATTATCAGCGCGACGCGATTTACGAGAGAGAGAGAGAGAGAGAGAGAGAGAGAGAGAGAAAGAAAGAGAGATCGAAAGAGAGAGAGGGGGGAATGGGGAGGACGAACGATGCACCGGTACAACTGATTACGCGCGGCCACCGTAAATCAGCCGGGTTATTATTTTACGATGAGCGCAATTTTGTTGCGATTATTGGTTGTAAATCGCGGCCGGCGACGCGCGCAGACCCCGAGAGACGGAATGTTAATGCATTTGCATAATTATGATAACTCGCGTGTGCGCACGCCTCTATCGCTACGTGGCGCTTTTTTATTATTCGCTATTTGCGTTTCACCATGATTTACGCGCGAAAAACCCGCACGGTGGTCCCTCTCTTTCTTTTTTCTCTCTCTCTCTCTCTCTCTCTCTCTCGCCCACTCGGCGAGGAGGCGTCGTTCCCCACAATATCCGTGTATAACACCTGTTACCGTCAAACTATAATAATAAATCAATCTTATTCATTACCTCTCTGCTTCTCCCCCTTTGCAAATCTCCTGAGTGTTATTACTTTATAATTTTACCCACATTATTAATATTAATCTTTTCAATCTGTATCACGCTCGAAGCACGAAAACCGTCGTAAGCTGCGACACCTATTCCGCGATTTTCCAACCCGAATCGAGAAAAGAAACGGACGGTTCTCATCTGTGAAGAAAGAAAATAGCGGACGCTCTCAGAAGGGCAAGCATGCCGTGTCGTTCGTACAAAACTATGCGAAATATTCGGCGCGGCTGAACGCGACTATTTATTAGCTCTTCTCTCCTCGTCCCCTTCATCATCGCGTTCTCGAGGGGAGGTTAAGGTTTCTCTAAAGCACGCCTCGACGGCGATCCGTTCGTGGTGGCGCGCCTGATTGATTTCATCAATCCTCCGGTATGACCCATCACAGGATTTCCTCCCCCCGTCCAGCATCTATCTTGTCGCGAGGCAGCCGCGCGAGGGGGCCCTTTAATATCTCATGTGCACCCCCCTCTCCCCACCTTACGCAAGATTAGGATTAGGCTGGAATGCATTCATCCCAGCCGAGTCCCCCTCTTATAGTTTACGTGCACGACACACATTTACGCGCGGCGTGCCACTTCCACGTGGAACGAGCTTTTAATTGTGAGATAAAGAGACAAGAGCCGCGGCTCGCGCCCGTCACCGTGCGTTACACCTGGAGCACCGTTTGACGCGGCCCGAGAGACGTATCGGGCGTAAAAGCGGCGCGACGGCAAGTTATCGCGACACCTCGTCTGCCGGACGTTTTACGCTCTCCCCGATATTTTATTGCGGCGCGCGCGTGATATATAAGCCGTCCGATTGAACGAAGGCACCGCGCGTGAGACGCGTTGTTAAACATATATCCGCGGTAATACGCTCGATCCGGACGAGTATATATACCGCGGGAGTGGCTCTTGGAAAGTTTTCCGCGATGAATCCCGGCCGAAAATCTCGGAAATTCGCTATTCGATCGACGCCCGCCGGAGCGTACTCCCGTAAGCCGGTCTTCTTAGCGCGCGCGAACGAGCCTCGCGCTCTCGTGGGAATGAATCGCTTTTATCCCGCGTGAGATCTTTCGTTTATCGAGGTCCGCAGCCGGGGTCCCTTTACAGGCGCCATGTAAATCCGCGCTTTATCTTAATTTCAGGTAGCGGATCGTCACGCCCGTTTGACTATCTCCATCATTTTCCGGGTCGCCTATCTGCGTTGTTTCTTAATAGAACGAGCGTATCTCGAGGAGGTGCGCCGCGGCATAACGAGATGCGGTCGAGACGGTAAACCCGAGCGCGCTACGCACTAATATGGACGCGAGCGGATCTGACAGGCAGCTTGATTAAAGCTCTCTTTCGGCCTCGTGTACTCCGGTTACACCTCGACGTGAAATTTTCACCGGGTAACCCGTCACCTCGTTTCAAGGCAGTTTGTGAGACGATGAAGATATCATTGACGTACTGGCTGTGCTCGATTTAATCGTTTTTCGTTCGAAACTAAAGCTAAGTATGCTACGCAGACGTCGTCGCAGTATTACTTCAAAGGGATCTCGATGCTTCCGAGCAACGGTAGAAAATTTTGTTTTAAGAAACCAGTCCACTGAATTTCCGTTACTTTAACATGCGGAATACGTTGAAAAGTAAACAAATATATGTTAGATCACTATATTCACTTTGTAACATATTACTTTTTAATATACCCACCTTGTTAAAGTAACACGGAAATTTGAATGGACCGTTCGTAACATCAAGTTTTTTACTGTGTGGTCAATGGATGAAATTTTAACATGGATAAATGTTACATTCTAGAGTTTGTCGAAAAAAATTCGCTTATTTACGATCATTCTCTAGCGGGCCTTTCGCTTGCAGCGGTTAGCTCTATTAGGAACCTTAGTGTTTGGTTTAACGGTGACTTATCATTTGATCGCTACATTCGTAAAACTATTACTAAAGCTTATCAGAAACTCGGGTTCATCTTTAGATATGGCAAATATTTTCCTAACACAAATACAATTAGATTATTATATTTTTCGTTCTGGTTCGTCCGCAACTTGAATATTGTAGTGTTACATGGCCGCTATATTTAAATAATCAATGTATTCTGATCGAACATGTACAACATGATTTCTTGCGCCGCGTCAGTTATTTATCGGGCAATCTATGTCTTACTTATCTCATGATTATCAACCGTTATAACGCGAGATGCACATCGTATCTTTGAAGCACGGAAGAATAATTACAGATTTATTATTCTTGCATAATTTAATTAATGCCAATTTAGATTGCCAATATAAAAAGTATTCACTTTTCTCCTTATTTCGTATCATCGAACATTATATGGGTGATTTAAATCCATTAATAGCCTGAGCATGCCAGCTAATGAATTTTCTGATTTTATCTGTTTAATATGTCTCAAAGTGTGCTCAGGAACAAATTAAGTTCGCTACTCATAGAAATATAAATCCTTTGTTTTTCTTTTCTTCCTGTTCTTATTGCCATTTTATATATTTTTGTCCTATTATTTCCTTCTATTTGTGTTAAAAAGAGAATCGTTCCCGTTTATGCTGTAAATAAATAAATAAATAAATTAGCGACATCTAATACCGAGCAATCAAGAATGTTGACGAAGTAAACTCCGGGAATAGAAACTTCAGGAATAACGGATTTCGTTAAGGTACGCGTTGAACCTAGAGATGATATTTCAGCAAACGTCGAAGTACAGAATCAGCACGCAGAGATCTCTAAAGAGGATGCACGAGCAAGCTGAATAACGTGCTAACGCGGTTAAAAAAAAAAATAACATTGAAGGGTATAATTGTTTAAGAGTGGCCATTTCCTATCTCAACGAGTCCCCTCCTATTTCCTCCACTAAGCGGCCGGTTTGTTGCAGCGTGCGACTGTCATCCGATCGGGGCTTCTGGAAAGACCTGTAACCAGAGCACCGGCCAGTGTCCCTGCAAAGACGGTGTAACCGGTACTACTTGCAATAGATGCGCCAGGGGCTACCAGCAAAGCAGATCGCATATTGCGCCTTGCATCAGTAAGTACACGCCTACGCGCGGTGCTTGCTACTCGGTTTCATTGCCACGTTTATCTTTTATTTCGACTTCGTTTCCGCCGCCGTGGCGGCGATGCTTGGTGCTCGTCACACACCCCTCTCCCTCCCTCTCTCTCTCTCTCTCTTCAGCCTTACGAGCCGTTTTACGCCGTGTTGCGGCGAGAGAACACCCGGCTACAACGAGCGGGAAAGTGGGTGCTCGCGGTGAGGAGGCGGACAGTACGGCGCGCTCCGTGTGACCGCGCGGAACGAGGGAAATTCTGCGCGTCGCGGAGCCGGGACGGCGATAAATTTCGGAGGAATTTTGAGAAACCGCTCGGAGAAAATGGGAAAAGCGACGAGCGGATCTCTCTCGGCCGCCCGTCGCTACGGTTTCGCCGCGATATCCTCGCATTTACACGACTCTGCGGAAGTAACGCTCGGAGAATTGATTCGAAAGCGCGCGCGAGCGCGCGAAATTCGCCACGTTGTCGCTGAGAGAAGGTAGCTTTTTTTTTAGATCTTCCCGCTTTCAACTGACGATTAGATTTCAGATTATATTCGTCCTGAAGTTTCACCGAATCAACGTTAATTGGAAGTAACGTTCTCTCATTTGCACGCCGCGCGAGTCGCTCGAAAACGAACCGAGAAGTTATCACGAGTATTTCTCTTCGGTCCGTCCGACACAGCCTGTCATTAACGCATACACGACGCGACGCGAAGAAAGCGCAAAGCTGCTCGGCCGAAAAGAGCGCAAAAAGTTTGTCGACGGGTCGATTTCGCGATCGGTCCTCTCAGCTCCGCTACCAGGGTGGCGAGAAGCTCGGCCAAAAAAGGCGGCGGAGCCGCTCGACCACACCCGTGCTGCCCTGGCGAATGATCGATCGATCGATCGGTAGGAACACGCGACGATCTTAGCGCGCGATCTCCTCGCGCTTGTCCAATTAGGCGAAATTTGCGAAAACGTACGTGCCAGCCCACCCTCCGCTTCCATTCGCCGCGGGCGGCTCTCTGTTTTCGACTCGACTTTCGCTCGACGACGCGAGCGTCTTCGTATCGTTTGCTCGCGTATGTCCACTGAAACCCATTTAATTGACTTAAACTAATTCCTTGTTTGGATATGGCCGGACAAATGTTTTAGTTATAAGAACCGAGGTTTGATTCTCTGGACCAAATATGGAAAGAAAAGTTTGGTCGGAGGTAAGAGAATTTCTGGCTGTAAGAACGAAATCTGGGCCGTAAGAACCAGAAATTCCGTTTCCTTCAACCAAAACGCGTTTGGTTTGTTCACCTTCTGGTGAATTCGACCAAACATTTTTTCCCCGTGGTTTGGTTCTCGGAAACAAAAGTGACAAAGATTTCAGGAAACCAAACCTTTGTGTGCGCACGTGAACAAGAGTCTCTTGTGAGCGTGAAGTTCAATTCAAAATAACACAACGGTGCATTAACAATAACACGATGATTCTTCAATTTATTGCTTCCTTGAAGGGGCACAACACACGCGTGAGAGTTCCGCGACGCACTCACTCTCAGAAACGTTAACAAGAACTAAAAGTGTGCAAGCAAATTCAATAACACTCGGTAAACTTTGTAAATACCGCACGCAGTTATTATAAAGAAGTATTTCAATGGATAAATTGCGATTGACGACGAGCAATCGAGGTCGCACGAGCAACGCGTAGCACGATCACGAATACGTCTTGTCACAAGCTATGCAGAAGCGTACTGAATCGGGTTCAGAAGTTCCCGAGGATCTTTCTTTCCATCTCGCCTTTCTAAGACACGAAAATATCAATACAATAAAAGGAAAATAACGCGCGTGCCTAGCGACAGCCGACACGATGTTGTCAGCTAATCGCGGACAATCGCCTCCCGCGAGCGACAATATATCGCACGTATCACGGGTTTATTCGTCCATATCCAAACAAGAATTTACTTTGAATCAATTAAATGGATTTCTCAGTGTAATTCTTGCGGATATGCCGCCGATTCTTTCGTTAATATTATTTGACGGGTTTCAAATCTCGCGAGCGACGCGGACGCTTTCTACAATCTCGCCGCGCGCACAAGACAGATGCATCTTGTGCATCTCCGCACGACAGACAGAAACAATTATCGATCGGCGCTCCTAGCGCGAACACCCGCGGGCTTAGCTCGGCCTTCTTCCATCTCGTACCCTTCATTTATCTCGTATTCTTGCAGAGATACCCAGGGTCGTGCAGACGCAGGGCACGGCCGGCGAGGAGAGCGGCGAGCACGAGGACGACGACGAAGAGCGCGGATACGACGGGCGAGCCGGTAAGTAAGTGCAAAGCAAACTCAAAGACGCGTGTACGCCGCGCGGCGGATGAATCTCATTATCGCCGTGGAATCTTCATTAAGTCTCCCGACACGTCGAATCGTGCGAAAGAGAGAGAGAGAGAGGAGCGTGCGAATTCTTGCCTCGCGCTTACACGCTCCGGGAAGATCCGCCGAGATAAATCGCCAAGTAGCTCTCGATGGATCGCGCAGACCGATAGCAATATTCGTCATGAAATCGCGTCTGTTATTTGCGCGAATTTCGCGGCAGCCGGCGGAGGAGAGTCGATTTGGACATGGGTCTGGTCGCCCCACGCGTAGTAGAACGGAATGCGGCCGTTATTATTAATTTAGCAGACGGCGCAGGTGAGCGGGCGAGACAGGAGAGAAAGAGGAGGGTCGGATCGTCTAGCCGCTCGGTCGTAGTCTCTCACAGGCACCCCTAATGGCTTAATTAAAACTACCCTCGCCCTCGTGGCCCGGCCGGTTTATTCGGTGCCTCCACTCGCGACTACGCGGCACGACGCGCGATTTTCGCGATGTACTCGGGACGAAGCCGAGCGAATCTTTCGCTCTCGAAACGTCGGTAAGTCTCGACGTGCTTGGCTTTCAGACATTCGCGTTTGTTTTTCTCAAATATCAGAGTAGCGACGAAGTGTTCGGCGAGCGCAAAACCGATGGAATTTTGCTAACATCGATGTACACGCGAGATGCTTCGTCTCATGCTTCGAGAGAGCAGAGTAGAGCAGAGTTTATTATAACTCTGGGGTATAAATTATCCCTTGGATTTAGAGTAGTTTACACAACATTTTCAGGTGGCTAAAGATGTATAAAGAATATTTCAAGCTAAGTCACAGTTTTAGTTGCATTCACAACCGAGGGAAATAATAAGTACAAAGTATAATGCATAGACTTAGTATTAACTAGATAATTTTTTAGACGCCAGTTTCAACTGATGTCAAAAAACGCAAACCTACATACTATTTACTAAATCATAGAGAGAGAGAAGGGAGGGAAGAAAGAGAATGGGAGAAGCAACGTGCATACATTAATTCTTGTCCGAGCGACTTTTGTAGGTCCTTCACTCGGCAACACGCAACATTGCTGTAGCGATCAGATAAGCCGACGACTTTAAGCTAGTAAAACCGCGTGCGAGGTCGAGAGCGAATCGAGAGAGATTTTTCCGGGCGGGAAAGCGCGACGCGTGAAAAGCGAGCAGCGAGGCGGTCGCGTGGCTCCCTCGAGATCTCACATCGAATGCATGCGCTTCTGCCCACGCGCGCTCCACATAATACGGAGCGTAGATTACGACGGCCGACGCTCCCTGCATCTCTCGAGTGAAATATCGACGCGCGTAGAGGAGCACCGCGAGCGGGTTTGCACCTGGAGCGAGATTTCGCTCCGCGGGTGCCGCGACGCTAATTATCGGACGTCGAGCGAAGCGCGAGGGCGATGACGATTCCCGTTTAACCAGCCGCGCTTTTCTTAACGATCTCGGGGAGCGCGTCTAATTGCCGCGAGAAAAAGGAAACTTCTCGGGTGCGATGCTACTTTTCCATACGATTTCCACGTTGAAGCTGCCCAACTTTCTGTTTTCCGCGACGTTAGCGCCGAAGAATCCTCATTAGAGAGGAGCGTGACTGCGAAATTTGCCCGGGGAATAAATACAAATAAATGTATGTCATGTCACAAAGTGTTATGCACAAAGTTCGGAGTTCGAGTGGCTCTTTAATCCTGACAGTAAACATGTTAGGACGCTGAGGCTTGCACACGTTTTTGTGTAAAACTCCTACTCCTATTCTTCTGTTACTACAGTTGACCTTCAACCTTTGTAAAAGAAGGACTTGTATTACAGTTCACATAAGTTTTGATAATTTTAGTTGAATATGTCAGACTTCTGGCACCTAGAATGTTAGTTGAACGTCAATTCTTAATCCCTTAACGTGCAAGCCCGAAAGTTAAAGGCTCAGACAACGCTTCATTATCACGATGCACGCATCCGTGTTAATTCGGGCATGAAAAATAATTACACTGAAGTTATGATATAATGCAATGTTAAAAAAAACTATTTTTGTATTTTATATTGTTTTTCTAATCGTAGAAAAACCGTGCGTTAAGGGGTTAGAGACTTATGATGTTATTTGAAGATCTGATCAATAATAGATCTCCTTTGGCGTATCTGCGACCAGTTTTAAAAGATTTACAAAGACTTTTCTTCTATTTCTCTCAGACTCAGTAACAATGAACCCTCGGTAGAAAGTTTTTGCGTTAAAATAGAAGAATTTTAAAGAAACTATGTAGAGCTTAATTATACAATGTTAAGACTTCAAAAAATTACAAGAATAATTTAAGTAATAATAAAAACTGAATGATTTGTAAATTAAGAAAAGTTGAGTCCGCATGTGACTACCCATCAGTCTGACTTAACGAGATAACTGATTTCCTAGCGGCAACCATTATACAAAAACAACAAATCAAAATTGATAATAAATGTGAAAACATAATTCTCAAAAAAAAAAGCCCAAAATATGAAAAAAAAAAAACCGCGACTTACCATTTTATTCGCGTTCCCGAGATATTTCTGTTGTTACTCCAGCATCAAGATCGCGAGTGTTCTCGGTATTAATTACGAAGGGATGGAAAGACGGGCGCTCGTCATTCGTAACTCGCGTAGAAGCCGTCTGCTCGACGGCTGACGCGGGCGGAGCCCGCGGCCTAACAATGTCACGAGCGAGGCGATACACCACAAGCACTGCGTGCTCATGTGTTGCCAATTCCGGGACATCCTGTATACGCACAGTCGCTGATCTCGCGAGCTAACTAGTTTACATATTGCAAGGCGGAATTATCGCGAGCGCGAGTTTTTCGCTATCGCGCCCGCGTCTCTTTACGAGGAACTCTCCCGCCGCCTACGCGGCCGCGCATAATTCCGCGCGTGGATTACGCCGCGACGCCACCACCTACTCCTTCGCGAGTGAAATATCGGCGCGCGAAGGAGAGTAGTATTCGTAATCGAATTTACACCTGGCGAGTGTCGCGCGCGAACGCCGCTCGCTGTCGCCGTAAATTCGCCTCGCGGGGAAACCGCGGCAGGAACGGTCCGCGTAAATTATCCGCCGTAATAGGCCTCCTGGAAATACTCTCCTCTCTCTGTCCTCCCTCTCGGTCCCTCTCATGATTTCTCCTCCCCCGCGAAACCACTCGTTCTCGTCTCGATAACGTGTCGCGATAACGTTGACGATCTTGTATAGCCGAGTGCCTCAGGTCGAGAGAGAACCACGAGCGCTCTCCTAACGAGGAAACGTCAGTTGCCGCGTAAACACTCGATGTCACGTGCGGATTTACGCACATCTCGCGATGGAAATGGGGAGGGAGAAGAGGAAAGAGGAAGCGACGAGGAAGAGAGAGAAAGAGAGAAAAGCCCGGGGCGAAGTTTTCGCCCGAGGGGAGAAATCGAGCTCGACTTCTCCTCGGCTTGTCCCGCGGGCTAAGTGAACGCCCGATAGGTCTGGGACATCCCGCATGCAGGAGTCGATTTCAGATTACATCGCGCCGCGTCGATCCGCGGCGGAACGTTAAAAGAAACGCCGCGGTAACCGGCCCGATTTACTCGCTCGTATATCCGCTCGGATCTCCGAGGAACGGCCAATCAAGATCGAGCCGATCTTGACTTTCACGTCCTCGAAATTTCATTAGGGCGAAGTCCGCCGATCGCGCGCATCTCGCATGTCGCGCGCGGCTTTCAGACTTCATTACCGGTTTTGCTCTCTCTCTCTCTCTCTCGCGAGCGAGCGAGCGAGCGAGCGCCTCCGCTTCTCGTGACTCGGACCGTCGACGCGGTGGAAGCGCGAGGCCGAGCTCTTGCCTCTTTATTTTTCAATTTCCGCCATCTTAAACTTCGCGATTCCGACGCGGTCGATCGTCCAAACGAGTCCACGCCGCGCGTTACGATCTCGTATTATGTTATCACGCGCGAGTTCGCCGCGCGCGCGCGCGCTCCCAGTGCAAAAAGAGCGATAAGGTCCTATCGGGAAACATCGGAACTCGTCCGTAAAACTCTCACTTGGCGCACCGAGGGACAGGCATCGCCGACGGTTCCACGTTACGCTCTGCACGTTCGAGTGCGCACTTTAAAGCGCAGTAAAGAGTCCGCAAAACATCATCGTTCTCGAACGAGTATCGTTCTCAGACGGCCTGCGTATTTTCATTGCGAGTTACTCGCAAGCGTGTTCCGAGCGCAGTCGATCGGAAACACTCCCTCTACGTACACGTCTATACATCTCTCTCTCTCTCTCTCTCTCTACACTAGTCAATCCTCAAACATTGCGTCGCCCGCTCTGTATGTTATCGTAACTCGTGTTTGCGCCGGTGCGCGGCCAAGTGCCGAACGAATTTCCGAGCGGGACCGCGAGATGTGGGAGCGACTTTCGAGGGAGGGGAGCACGTCGAGCACGAATAAATCGACATTACCATGTAATCGTATTACATGTCGTAATATTCTCGCATTACGCTACGGCCGATCGCATTAAAACGCGCGTCACGCGTATCAAGTCGGACACGCTTCCCTCTCGGGAAAAATGAAGAAAATCGCGAAAGAGACCTCGTACGACGCGCCCGTCCCGTCGACGCTCACCAGCCAGCTGTGTGCTGGGAGAAGCTATGCGTGGAGAAAGAATTAGCCACAGGAGCTAAACTTGTGAAAGCTAATGCCGTTGTTATCGCAGCTGGAGTGCGTCCATAGGTAATGTTCCCCGTTTTCCCCCGATTTTGTACCAAATTTTGGTATTAAATTAAAATATTCACACAAGCTGATTGCGAATATATATATATATTTATGTGTGTCTTAAAGTGTAGTAATTTATCGTTTAAAGATTTCGATTCTGACAAATGGCGATTATTTCTTTGGAATGGTGAATGTCTGTGCTCTAACGCATATACATTTGTAATCAGGTGAAATGGAGAATATTTTAACAAAATTCTTTATTAGTTGTTCGAATCAC